GTAGATCGTCGGGCTATCGATATATGTCGTAAGTCGGAAAGCGTTATAAACATATCAAAGCCAAAAAATTAAAAATACAATTTAAATGAAAAATGATGTCTTAAATATAATTCACAATTAAAACAACAATACAAATTTAAAATACACTAACGATATGTTAAACATTGCACATAAATAAAGTTACATTACTGCTCGGCATCACACACAACCTCGTTTTCTCTTCTACACAACGATCAGTATTCGCTCGAAAAACATCAAAGAATTCCACAAACTCGGTGTCCATGTGCTCATCCATCTATTTTCACTTAAAGAAAAATCAGAGAATTGCTCAAACTCGCATTGCGCAACACATTGACTTTGACCATGTGCACATCGATCTATTTTCACTTAAAAAACATCCCAGAATTGCACAACCTCGGCATTGCGCACCACATTGGCTTTGCCCATGTGCACATCGATCTATTTTCACTTAAAAAACATCCCAGAATTGCACAAACTCGGCATCGCGCACCGCATTGGCTTTGCCCATGTGCACATCGATCAATTTTCACTTAAAAAACATCCCAGAATTGCACAAACTCGGCATTGCGCACCACTCAAAATCGTCTATACGTCTCAAAACCGTCTCTCTACTAGTTTCATATTTGTTCCACAAATTGGGCACTTATACGATATTGCAATCAAACTTTTCTCCATACACCACTCAATAACGCTCTTTTTGCCTCTTCGCTCCAACTGATTAAAAAAATCCAGATCCATTCTGCAGTAAGCACCGATTTAGACACACTCATCAATAATCAAAACATTCTTTAAGCAAAAAGACAGACAGACAGACAGACAAAGTAGACAGATGTCTTGTTTTGCACCCGCTAAGTCTTTCTGCACCGATGGGCGAAAATTCAAGCATAGGTGCGAAGGAAAGGTATATAGAAAGAGGGACAATTTCGTATTTGAGGAGAGTAAAAAGTAACTTCGTACATTTTGTACGAGTTCAAAAGGCCAGAAAGAAAAAGATGGGGCAAAATAAAATTTAAAATAAATGGTCCAAAAATAAAAGAGGGAAAAAAAGAGCCTATAGAAAGAAAAGGAAAAGAAGTAGAAAATATCCTAAAATACGATTGTGTCCATGAGTGTAGTTAAGGAGTTCATCTGCAAAAATTAGTGTCTTTAAGAAGCAAACTTTAGCTAAGTTTAATAAAAAAAAAATAAATGAATGAATTCCTACATGGTAATGTGTATGCCCTTATCTTGAGGCCTAACTAGAAAAGACATATATCATCACAGAGATGTACATAATATTTTAACTAAAGTAACATTATCTATTGCCGTTCCCAAAAAATTCATGTATATTTCAGAAAAACAGTAATTGACAAAATCATAAATCCATACACAGTGTGAGAGCATTTCAACAAAAATAAATTATACAGTTTATTTTTCTTAATATTAGTTAAATATAAAATTAATTTATTAATTTAACAGTTGTAATTTATTATAGTACAAGTTTAATAAATTCCGTCACCCTGTATTTATATTTGATCATAATTCCAAGTTTGATACCTGAAAAAAAAAAAAAGGTCGGGGATCTTAGTTACAAAAATCACAATCTATACTCATCGATGGTCAAGAGATCCCCATTTTTTCCCTCTCAAAAAATTCCTAGGCACGAAGAGGGGGCCTCCGAAGGGTGTGAATTGCTGATAAGAACGGACTACTGATAAGGAATGTGGCGTCTCTACGGAATAGTTACGAAGAAAAGAACCACATGACTTGCTACTATTACTAACTATTGTATAATGCTAGAATCTTATGAAAAATAATAAATAAAGAAATTTAATTGCACTCTAGTGATAGAGAAACATATATTGTATAAAGAACAGAATGTTACTTATCTGAATATTCCGTGTCAGGGCCTCTTTTGGATTTCTCGTGTTGATAGTAAACAACTAACAAAACATCTGAAGTTTCGAAGAAGGGAAGTTTCCTTTTTCAATTTGATGAATGAGACATTGCATAGGAAAGGTGCATTAAACTTTTTTAGAGAGTTGAAAATATTTACTAAAACAGTTATTTAAAAAATTTCGGAGCTATGTTTAGACACTATTCGCCAAACGCAATGTATACAAGAGGATGGAATTACGGTTACCTTTAAGCAAAAGAATGCTTTTCTGTATTTTCAGAAGTTACGGTTATAATTTTTAATTCATGCATTCAATATTTTTTAATCGTTTGCTAAGGATCGTTTGGTATCTTAATAATACATTTGTGAGAGATAATTCGTTGCATTAAATGCTAACACTACCACACAACACACAAAAGTAGATTTATAATTTAAAAAATCTCGCGCAGAACATTATAAACCTACCTTTTCAACTCAGTTAAAATATAATTTAAGTTTTCTTTAAATACGAAGCTATAGCATACTTATAACTTGTTTTTAAGAAGAGGCGTAACCAATATTACGTCATAAAAAGGCGTGTCCAATCATAAGAGAAGTAAACGCAGCATCGACTGATGCCAGGGGGGGCCCAAGAGCGATGCGCAGTGCAGGGAGAAAGTTATGCCACATACGCATGACGTCATGTGGGTGACAGCGTTAGTTCTTGGCGTTTGTTTACTTTCGTTGCATCAACAGTTTGATTTGATTTGTGTTGTTAATTTGCTATTATACCTAAGCCGAAGTGGCAAATTGTGCTATAGCGTTGTGTCAGAATTATACACGTTAATACGTTTTTTGGCGGAAAACACTCTTTACAACCAGATAAAATAACTATTTTTTTAATGAATTTATGTAGTTTTCATACATAACTGTGATGTAATTTTACATTTATTTTTCATTTTACTGCTATTTTACATTTAAATTGAAAAATTTCTCATTTTAAATCATTTTTTATCATAATCTTTTGTGTATGAGACTTACATCGTAGTGAGATATTTAAACTCACTGTCATGTTTATCAATACTGAGTACCTAAATGATTAGTTAATAAATTTGCGTATCCAACTTCATTCACATGTTTTGGTTACTTTCTTTACATCCCAAACGTATTGTATTGAAGCAGCGTCTGGGTTAAGCTTTGCGAACTAAGTAAACTGATACATGCCTCACCGTGAGGAAAGGACAATTTCTGACCACACTATGGTGCAAACATCGAATGAGTGAGTGACATATTTCCTTCAGTGTTATTTAACTGATGCATACAGGTATGTGTGATGTAATTTAATTGATATAACTTACACATGCTTGAACCTGAAGGAAAACAAATCTGTGTATAATGCTAGAATACAAATAGCGAAAGAGAAAGTAAGATATTCTGTTTAGTGTTATTTAACTGCTGCATATGTTTTAATTTTGATTCCATATAACTTGTTTTTAATTATAAGAGAAAGAAAAATAATTCAATATTGAACACATATTTCGAGTATAACAAAAGTATTTTAAGAAATAAGCTAATAAAAATACATTAGTGATTAAAAATATTTAATTTGTGTACAGACTGAATTGAAATTAAGATGTGGTGGTGTATTTAATTATAGCAAAGCACACTAGGGCTATCTGCGTAATAGGTGTGATGCCTTCGTGGAGGACTTTCTCAGGGAAACTGGCTCGTATACACGTTACGCATGAGGAAAACCACGAAAACACCCATGCAGCCAGCCCGTTCGCGGGATTCGAACCGAACTACCCAGTGTTCAGCGACTTTACCGCTCGGCCGCTGGTGGGCCGAAACTAAGATGTAAGGCAAGTTTATTATTATTATTATTGTGCGTATATGTGTAAGAAAATGTATTTTAATTGTTCCATTTTTAATGTATGGAAGGAAGAATAGGATGCCAATATCGAAGATTATTTACTATAGCAAATAATCACGTCAGGATAAATGTTATATAGAAATCTTGGGAGTGTAAGGGATTATAAGAGTACTTTTAGATTATACTGAAAATATACGCACTTCTGCTAAAATCTGAAGTGAATCAGTATGAAGTGACTTTTCACTTTAAAAAGAATGTGATAAGTATACTATTTAAAAGTATAATGACGGATATTAAGAAATTTGTAGAATTTTATGGTATTTAAATATGAATTTGTTAAGTCAAATCTTTTTATATATATTTTTGCTTGAGATATGTAATTTAAACTGAAAATCACGATCATATATTTCTCATGGAATGTCAAAGTTCATTTGTATTAAAAAAAAGTGCATGAGCAATGAAAATAAATAGAATAATACTTTTTGATTATGTTTTTACCATGGTCTTAGCAGTTATGCCATGATGTGTTCTGTTCAACAAGATTTATTTAGTGCAAACAATACTACGAAAAATATTGAAAAATACCTTGTTTTACAATATTTATTTCCCTTAATTAACTTAAATATCGTTTTTCATTTTCTAATGCTTTCCTTTACGAAAAGAATTTAATGTTTACAATTATTTTCAGCATTCGTACGAATTCTGTGCATAAAATAAACATTTTCTTTAACTAAATACTTAATCGGAAAGTATATATCCGGTATTTCCGGTGTATCTACCACATCTAAAATGATCATTTTGCTTTAGTTTACATTTTTTCCATTACCAAAATCATGTAGCAGACGCGTCGGCCGATGCGTCTTGTCTCCCGGGTGACGTCACTGCCAGCAACCAATGGCACGCTTTTTCCGTTCCTGGCCTAACCTTAGTATATTAAAGAACCTTGGACTGATGCAGCCTATTCTGCGATTTAGCCTAAATTTTATCTGAATGAAGTTTTCTTATTACAGAAACAGTAAAATTATGCAATTACATAAACGAATACACTTTCGAACAATATACTTAATATTGTTTACAAGCGCAAGCCAAAGTTCTGTTTATGTTACATCTCGCCCTTCAGCGCATGCTCAAGAATTACCATCCAGGCGAAACTAGTCGATTTGACCATGACGTCAAAAATTCGAAAAGTTGGGTAGGGTTTGGAAATACGCGTCTTGTCCGTATGCCACACGCCCTGATTATCAGTCGTGACGTCACGCTGTGGAGTGGATATTTCCTCGGCTTCAATTTTGTGATGTCACGCTTACTCCTTCCATTCTAACCTCGTTGGTAGAGAGCTACTAGAGATACCTTTATAGTATAGTAGCTTTATTTCTTGGGATCAACTTACAGTAGAATAAGTGATCTCTGACCTAAAGTTCTGTGCTTTTTGTACGCATAGCATATTCAGGACACTCGTATGTACGCTGCAAAATTACTTCCGAGCTGGCAACTGTGATGACGTGCCAGTTAGTTCTCATGAAACGAGAGTAGTGAATAAAGGTATTTAAACATTAACTCTTATTATGTTTCCGTGAATCTTAAGATCTGTGAATATTATGAGTGGTATGTAATATCGTATAGTGTTGTATAAGTTTAGCGTTGAAGTGCTGTTTAGCGCGTAAAGTTGATCCTATGGTGAACTATTTTTGTTCTAATTACTTGGTGATTGACCGTAGGTTTTTCATATGCAGTGCAGGAGGAGAAATGTTACTCATCTGAAGTAAAATTTTGGCACTTAAACTTTTGAAACCAATTGTTTTTTTTTTTTTTTTTTGTTTGTTTTTCAAAGAAAAACATGTTACTCGCTGAACTTTGTATGTTAGTGTGAATAACCTTATGTAAAAATTTTTTTGAAAAGTCTTTGTTCTGCACAGATCTTCCAAGATCAACTGATAGGAGAGAAAAAGATGATGTGCAGTAGCTTGGGTTGCATTAATTTATTTGCTGTTTTATATAATTTCCGCAGTATTTTGTAAACTTATATTTTATTTTTTTATGCTTTTAAGATATTTTTTTGTTTAATCAAATTATTTATATATTTATATTTTCTGTTTTTCAAAGAAGTGAAACATTTAGTTACACACTGATACTTTTTTTTTTTTCATAAGATAAAGCCCTTTGTTAAATTTAAATTGCAGCTTAAACAGCCAGCCCATTCACTGAATTTGAAACTGGGACTGAATTATAAGACTATCACTGCATTCATTCGTCTTATCGACTTGAATACAATGAGCCGAAGAAAAGGGGAAATATCTTTTGTATATACAAAGGTAACAATAAACACATTTCTAAATAATAAAATTATTAAGAATCCTTAAGAGTGTAATTAAGATCCTTAAGAAAATGTGGAGCATTTATAAAGGTTTGCAAGGGGAAAACATGATCAATTTTGTTATAAATCTCATGGTTTTAACATGTTTTAGCTATGCTCCTGCCAGATTGGTAAAAGCTTGGTGATCATTGTCCTGCTTAGAACAAATCTCAACAGATATAAGGTATAACATGCGAGTATAGAGTCTGAAGGAAAGGTAATGTTAGATTAGGTTATTCGAATATGGCTAAGCACATTGGTTATCAGCTCGAAGAAGGATGCTTTCATGAAGGACTTTGTAGGGGAAACTGGCTCATGTGAAAAACAAAACGCATGCAAAAAATCACAAAAACAAAACAGCCAGCTCGTTTACCAGGATTTTAGCCGAGGTTAAACTACCAGTATTTATCCATCTTAATCACTTGTAGAACAAGTCTAAAGAAAATGCTTGTAATACCATATCACGTAATCAAAAGTTCATGTGTTGTATGGCAGGATTGTTTTTCTCTAGTACGGAAGTTGGGAACACTAATTCTGTTCTCTTTTTTTTAAAGTGTTTGGTATTATTCATTACATATATTTTCTATAATTCATATAGAATACTAATATTTCTAGTAGTGTCTTATTTTTTTCATTTTTAAGTGCTTTGCTTGTTGATATTCTCAAAACTGTATCTGATAATTAGTGCTATTATGTATTTAATAGATATAAATACAATTGACGCATATAATAGATCAGGGTTGGCCAAACTTTATGTCGGTGAGAAAGCCACAACTGCATATTAATATCATTTTAAAAGTAGTGAAATATGTTTGAAATAACAAGAAATGTCTAATTCCAAACAATCATTCAACCACAGTCTTATTTGGATAAGAGCCATGCTCTTGTAAATAAATTAATGAATGCATGACTTTTAATACATCCATGTTACATAAACAGTTTTTCAATTTACTTGCAAACAAAGCATTTCATGTTGAAACAACTGCCTGTCGTTTTCATAGTATATTTGACAATGAAATAATCTTCAATAGTGCTCAAATTCTATTAAGTAGCATTGTTAATAAAACTAGAGCATTATCCATTTTATTATTTTTCAAGAGTTATTTGAATTTGAATCCATTACACGAATATTGGTTTTCTAATTTTGATGACCCTATCCATAAGACTATTCTGTCATCTTACATAATCAATAATATTTTTTATTTCAATTTAATCATCTATTGTGTGTCACACCTGCCATCCTCTCAAAGGTTGTTAGAAAAGCATTAACAATATATTATCTCGGTAAAATTTTAAGCCATAAATTCATTATTTTAGATGACAATAATCAATAATAAAAATAAAAACATTACTTAAAATGCATATTTTGGCGGTCCATGAAATCAAAATATTTTAGGGGTTGAATCTGGTTCTGTGTGGTTAACGCTACGTAGCCGTGTTACCAGTTGTCATTCACCCTCTCCTGAGAGCCAGCATCTGTCCCGAAAACTTCCTTAATGATATGAAAATATTTCTATTTATTCAATGTTAAAAATTCATAAAAAAATAACGTGAAAATTCAAAAAATAATAATAAAGTGAATAATTTTAAATCTGAAAATGCGGAGTGAAGTGCAAAATCGACCACTTATTTGGTGCGTTATGTTTGCCGCTTTTTACAAGAGTAAGAAGAATTGGATTTTTGTCAATTTCTTTGACATTTAAAGTGAAAATACATCGATGTGTACATGGACAAAGTCAAGGGATTGGCTCAGTGCCAACTTTGTGCAATTCTCTGATGTTTTTCGAAGTGAAAATAGGTCGATGTGCACATGAATACCGAGTTTGTGCAATTCTTAAAAACGCGCCAAGCAGTGGGTGATTCTGCACTCTCTCCCAAATGCATACAATTCAACAGACGCAAGCAGCAGAATCAACGTAAGAGGAATGGTTGCAACCGTCAAATAAGCAAATAGGTTGAATCCGTTGGGTTACCAGGTTTGAACTATTTTCGCCATTTTGGTGGTGTTTACATTTACCAGGCTCTTTGCAGAAGTGCTTCCAATTTTATGCATGAAGAACCCCTTTTATGAGCAAATTACTAGTCTTATTGATCTTAAATATAACCATTAAGGATGTTTCAGTGTTGAGTTTCAATTAGTTCTGCACTTTTATAGACTAGCTAACAAAAGCTTTTATCAGAATTTTGTAATAACCTAAAACATTATCCGGGATTTGAATTCGGAATCCACTACCTCCCTAGATTTAATTCTGCACTACCTCCCACTGCCAAGATTAGTGTAATCATGTAACTAATAAAATTAATCATCATAGAAATGATAGGATTACTTGTCATCTAAAAAGTCTATATATCAGCATAGTGTATGTTTGGAAAAATAAAAAAAATAATAAGTATATGCATCATCTAATTTTATTAATACAGTTAAAAGTCGTAAATTCGGACACCCATAATCCGGAATGATCTATAATCCGGACCTCAAAGCTAAAATCTTTCTGCGCATGTGCCGCGTTGATGCATGCTCATAGGCGTTTTACGCGTGCGCGCAAGACATTTACGACTGCGCATATGCGTCTGCGCAAGCACAGAATACGTTTTTGCGTGCGCGTTTAATATATAACAGACGGTATAAGCTAAAATTATCTAATTATCTATTTCAGTTAATGTTGTTCCTATTTCAGTTAATTGCGTTCTTCCTTAATCTTCGAATTGGATCCGGCTTATTATTTTTTGCAGACTGTAGCAATTTTATAAAAGTAAGCTTGAACTTTCGATTATGTCAAATAGAATTTCCAATGCTGGAGCTCCCAAAGGATCTAGAAAACGAAAGTATGTTTTGATGTCCATCAAGCAAAAAACGAATTGCTGCAAAAAATGGATAAAGGTATATCCTTTGTTTATTTAACCGTTCCGAAATCTGTTTATCAATTACACGCTGCTCTGCGCCGGGGGGGGGGGCATGGCGCGCGCGCAATGAACTGGAAGTTGATCTGTCAGAGATGAAATACTACATTTAGTAAGGAGTTATAAGCCAAATAAAATAAAAACATCTGCCCTGAAGATAAGGATAGTGCTGACAGGTCAACTTAATAAGCCGGATCCAATTCGAAGATTAAGGAACAATGCAGTCTGCAACATTAACTGAATTAGATAATTTTAGCTTAGCTTATACCGTCCATTATACATTAAACGCGCATGCGTAAACGTATTATGCACATGCGCACACGCGTATTCTCAGCCGTAAAGGTCTTACGTGCACGCGTAAGACCTTTGCATCGATGCGACGCATGCGCAGAAAGTTTGTAGCTTTGAGGTCCGGATTATGGGTGTCCGAATTAATGACTTATTGTAAATCTGAAAGAGGTGTGTAGATGCAATAGTCTCAAACTCAAGTTGCATGGTGGCCAAATGTACATTGTGCAAAATAAAAGAAAAGAAAAAGGGAGGAGAGGTACAATTCTATATCTTCCGTTCTACTGAGCCAAGGGTTTGGTAAATATTTATTAATATATCATTTTTTTATTAAACTTATGTTTCTTCCTTTCACAATTCAAAATTTAGGTTCATTCCAAGTAAAATTCATCCATTTTTTAAGGATTTATTTTTAAAAATTCTATTTTTTAATAATTTTTATAAATTTTTCAAAGCATACCTGCAAAAAATTAGTTTTTTTTAATTCAAAATTTCCGAAGATATACCTGAATTCATATATTCACGCGTTTTGAAATTTGGCATTAGAATTATTTGGAAGTAGGAACGAAGTTACTTTTTTCTGCTCCCTGCACAATGGAAGGGAAATAAAAATAAGTTGCCATATATTAAGAAGTTCGCCAAGTGAATTAATTATTCTTGTCGCAAACTGAAAAAAATTTGCCAAAATAAATTTTGGAATTTCTCTGTAAATTTTGCACCAAGTTTTAATTTTTATATTTAGGCATAATTTGAGTCGTAGAATCGAAATATGGGGACAAATTGGTATATTATTTCAGGAAAAGTCTGATTTTGTGTCAAAATACCTATGTTAGTACAATGCCATACTTAAATTTAATATATATCTTAAGTCGCGCTTTCAAGACATGAAAAACACAATTTGAATTTCGTCAATCAGCCGAGTAGAACGGGAGATACAGAATTATCCCCCCTTTTTTTTTGCGCAGTGTATAATCTGAAAACACCTAACAAGCCAGTTTTTTTTTAAACCAAATTGACCATTTTTTTAATCAAAACAATTTTTAAACTAAATTTTTAACATTAAATATATATGAATCATTATGAACAATAATGATAATAATAATGATTCAAAGCAAAAAATTCCGATATATATTTATTTTCTGTTTAAATCTAAAGGTTGGGATCTGCAAGAAATTTCTATTGGTTACACTCATAGTTCAGATTAATTTATTGGTTGCTAAAATTACATTGCTTCATATTTATTTCAAAAAATTCTGAAGTGTAAGTAACTTAAAATAAAAATAAATAAATTATGGAAACATTCCAAGTGGAACAAAACTTAAATAATGATAGCCTGTTATCTTTTATTTTCTTTGATGCCTACAGAAAGATTACATATATTTATTTGTTTACATATATTTGTTTGTAAATAATTACAGTCAAAAGTCGTTAATCCGGACTCGCCGGGACTTTGGTGATTCCGGATTATCGATTTTTCGGGATAGATCATCAGTTTAAATCTGGTAAGATGGCATGCAGAAACTACAAAATTAAAAATATGAAACCGTAATTTATGAAATAAAGAACAATTATGATCTAAAGGGTATCAAAATTTACAAAAAGAAAAAGCTTAATATTTATTTGTTTACTTTATTAAACATTTCTTTCAATGTAAGTTGTTTAAGTTGCTTCATTTCACGTGATGATACTTTCTCTTTAATTCTATTAAACAGATATAATTTCTTATTTAGTTACAAAGTTCCGCTGTTCAAGTCCTATAATTGCTGTGTT